TCAGGGGGAAAACGTCTCTCATCTTGAGCTCTGATTCGTTGATGAAGGAGTCTGCTGGGGTCTAGATTTCCTTAGCACCTTACAGGAAAAACTCCAGAAAATGACCCACTGCCATTGCCCAAACCAGTCCAGTGCTCCTGCTTCTGAAAGCCAAAGCATCTGCTGGTTCAGAAATCAAGTCCCCAGCGCCTGAATCCGTGGCAGAAGAGAAAGTTCCTCTGATCTGTTCACAGCACTAAGATGCCGGGCTGCGGAGGTGGAGGGCGGAGCCAAGCGACTCCCCGGTCAGCACCCCCGGGGGCTGCCTCACATAACCCCAGTCCACCTGAAGCTCCACTGAAAGTCGTTTTTCTGCTCCGGAGAGTTCGATGCAGGCCCTTGGGTTTCTATGGAAAGAATCCCACCCCCGGGTGGGTAGTCAACTTCCCCCACCTCCGGAGACGCTGGGCCTGGTGAGTGCGAGCTTCCGGAGGCCTCTCAGGACACCCGGGGAGGAGAGCTTAGCCTAGTGGACCTGGAGCCCAGGGGAGGAAGGCAGGAAAGACGATCACCCGAAACAGACACAGTGAGGCCACCCAGGAAGTGCATCCTGTAAGTGACAAGGGCTCTGAGAAGATCTATATTTAAGGGAGGAGCAGAGGAGAAACCTGCCAGGGACATTCAGGAAGAACAGACTGAAATGGAGCCAGGAGGACACGAAGGGGAGAGCATCTTCAGCCAGGGGTCATCAAAGGTGTCCCCTGTGCTCACACAGGAGGAAACACAGAATGCAAAAGGGTGACAGAGGTGGGGATTTGGAGGTGTGTGAGCCACGCGTGCACTTCGTGTCCATAGTCCACGTGCCCAGGGCTTCCCTCGCCCACCCCACCCAGGGGGCAGTGCTCAACTTTGAACCACACATCAGGCTTCCCTGAGCTGGGGTGCAGCAGTGGCCACGGGAGCCGAACCCCCACAGCAGATCCCTCTGCCTGAGAAGGGAAAGGTCTGGGGTTCTGAGCACGGAGGTCATTGTTGTGGCTTAGATGTGGTGTCCCCCAAAAGCTCACGTGTGAGACAAGGCAAGAAGGTCCAGAGGAGAAATGATTGGGTTACAAGAGCCTTAACCCAATCGGCGAATTACCCCCTCATAGGGGTTAACTGAGTGGCAATGAGGTGGCTGGAGGAGGGGGGCCTTGGGACGTAGCTTTGGGGTACATATTTTGTACCTGGAGAGCGGAGTCTTTCTCTGCTTCCTGATCATGAAGTGCACTGCTTCCCTGCACCACACTCTCCCACCATGATGTCCTGCCTCACCTCGAGCCCCAAGGAATGGAGCCAGTCTTAAAATGACTGTGAGCCCTCAAATACACGTTTTCTCCTCTACAGTTGTTCTGGTGGGTCTTTTGCAGCAGCGAAAAATCTCATTAAAACAGTCATTCTAAGCCGTGGTGTAGACGGGATGCAGAATGTGCCAGGAAGTGGTTTCCAGCCTGCAGAGAAGATGGGTGGAAGGGAGACAAAAGGGAGGGTAGCCCCCCCCAGCAGTATCCTGACAACCTCTGTGTTAGGCAGCTTTTTGTCACTGTGACCAAAACACCCGACAAGATCCACCTAGAGGAAGCAAGGTTTATTTGGGGTCAGAGTATCAGAGGTTCCAGTCCACGGTTGGCCAACTCTTCTGAAGGACATGGCAGAAGGGTGTGGCAGAGGAAGGTGGCAGCTCTTGGCAGCCAGGAAGTGGAGAGAGGAGAGGGAAAGGGCCTCAGGGTAGAGGCACCCTTCCAGGGCACACCCCTGGGCATCCACCTTGTCCAGCCCCACCCCAACCTGCCTCCAGTTACCACCCAGTTTAGTCATTCAATGAGGATGGACTCATTAAGTTACAACGCTCACAGTCCACTCATTCCACTTCTGAATATTCATACAAAGGAGCTTTAGGGGGGCACCTTATATCCAAACCACAACAACCTCATTCACCAACATACTGAGTTCCTTGGACTGTCGGTCACTGGCTCTCACTGTGGGACCAAGGTCTGCAGCAGGATCAGTTGTTAAAAAATATATAACCGCGGCCACCCCAAGCCCTACAGAACTGAAATGCCTAAGGGTGACTGAGAACCTGTACGTCCCCCTCAGGAGTCCTGCTGAAGCCATCTGTTGTAAAGGCTCCTCT